TCAATTGCAATTAAAATCAATTGCAATTAAAATCAATTGCAATTAAATCAATTGCGACGCGTCGCAATTCAAATTCAATTGAATTGATTTTTTAATCTGATTGAATTTCTGATTGAAATTTAATTGATTAACGCCCAACACTGATCTCAGTTTGTATAAAAAACACGCGCTGTACAATACACTGACAGCTCGTCTCCGCTGGGAGTGCAGGACTCATGATCCGTCGTCTCGCGCACTCTGCTGCGTGATGCGCGGCAATGTGATAATCGCCTTATTGACTAATACACTATTTTGTATCGGGGGTATTTTAAATTTTAATCTTTAAGTTTTATTCATGTTATAAAATTATATAGCTTGATTTTTTAACTTACCTGTGATCCTTCTCACAAGACTGCCAGTTTCTCTGCCCGCGCTACCAACGAGGTGTCCACCAAGACTGAACCCGACTAAATGCATTTTATCGTACGAAGCCCCTAAGCTAACCAGCCAACTGATGAATTGGCCCAAACCTCTCCCAACAGCTGGCACACCATTTTTAGCTGTCACATAGTTTCTATTCGCCAGTCGTGACCAATCAAGAACTATGACGTTGACATCATTATCTTCGAGAAATGCTGCAATGAGCAACCATTTATTTAAAATTTAAGTGTGCAAATGAAATGTTTTGTCCCTTATTCATTTTAGAGACATCAGTAATTTTTACTACATAAATTTATATTAGGAACATTGTCATTGTCACTTACTGTTATTAGGAACACAACATATTTGTTAATGGTTTTTAGCAAAATGATGTTATCTATTGTATTGTATAGGGTTAAGCGCACGACAAGCTTGACTCATAAGATTTAAATTTAACTCTATGCTGTTTACTATAAGTTAAACATGTCAAGCTCGGCGTGGTTTTGGCTATACAATGCATTAGGATTGTAATTGACAAAACGAAATAATTAATTCGTCACAATTTTTAATGAGGACCTAGGTGGCTCAGTGGTTTGCACTGTGGGTGCTAGATGAGGAGGTATGGGGTTCGATTTCCGATAGGACTAATTTGGTAAATTATCTTTTCTAAATTGGCTCTGGTCTGGGTGTTCTGGAAAGTGCCCCAAAGTAAAATTCGTTGCTTTGGTATTCCTAATACAGGAAATTCCCGAGTTTGAGACCAGGCAAACTGTGCGTACTTTATACAACAGCTGTGCCTTTTTTCGTCCTGAGGGCAGAATTGATGTGGTTGTCTGGCACATATGACATTACATGTCTGGACTGGGTAAATGTGGATCGGGTGCTAACTATAATGGAGCAATACAAGAATATCTGAATGCATCTACGAGTATTTGCAAAGTTTACATAAGGTTTACTCAAATTGGTGATTTACGAAAGGAGGAAAACGATTGCAATCCAAAATAATATCTAATAATACAGTAGCTACGTTATAAAAAGACGGCAAATAGTTTGTGTAAAAAGGCAAAAAAGTAATCAGAATATAATAAATAAAAAAGACAGAGCGATCTTCGATCTGCTACAAATACATTAGCTGACCTCTGGTAAGAAGTATATTCATGGTGTTTCCTCCTCTGCCATTCCATCCATGAGCAAGGAATACTATATTCTTGTCGAACATTAAGTTGGAGCTAATAACACTGTTTACATCTCCAAGGAGTAATATGTCCGCTGTTGTAGGGTTTGCCCTGAAATAGAATAATTTGGATAAAATCTTTTTCATGGTATATCTATCGCTTATGTGAGAAAAGCTATTTAACAGCAGGCAGGAAGATGATTGTGAGGATATCCCCGATTATAAGTCGACATACATTTTCTTACTCGCAATCAATTGGGGGTATTTCATGTAATAACTAAGTTCTATCGTGTCATACCAAAACACTGCAAGCCCTGAATAGTGTTTTGTAATTTCATAACAACAAGAATCTTTGGTTGTTATCAAATTGATTCGTTTTGAATAGATATAGTTTATTTTGGAGAGTCAATCATAATAGCTAGATAGAACTCTTTAATATCTTTAAATTGAATGTTTACTTGAAAATTACAAAAAAATAAAATCTTTTTCTCAAAACGTTGTTTCTGATATTACAGTGTCTGGTTTGCACGGTAGAGCTGTTGTTTATAATATTCAATCGTAAATACCTTGTAAAAAGCCAGTATCCGTTATTATCGGAATTTCTAACATAATCTCTGATGAAGTCCTCGTCGACGGGTTCATGGGTGTCAACTAAATGCAATATTCCGTCACCATCGCCCGGGAAGTAGAAATACCTGTCCCCCTCTTTGTAACCCTCATTGGGGTCTTTGATGACGCTAGCAGAACAAACTGCAACGCAAGTCGCAACACGATTAATTTGAGTAATTGGTTATATAAATTTGTATTCTATGCGGAAATAATCCGATCATGGATATTAGTTCACTTGATAACAATCAAGAAGTTTAAAATCTTTGTCCTTCGACAAAGAGTTGTTTAAAAAATTGTTCTTTTTTTATTCAGAATAGGCTAATTCAGGCCCGGTACAAAACCCAATAAGTATGTAAATTTTCGTTATAGTACTTTTTTATGACACCAAGTCACGGGACGAACAAGTCGTGCACCTGTTCTTAAGCGACACGCCTATCCATAAGCAGCAATTCGACCGATCGCTCAGGGTGACGGACATAGTGGCAACTGCGTCCGTCACCCTGTGATATCGTTGACAAGTCTCTTGTACTTGTAATTTCATAAGCACCCTTTTTACCCTTCAAAACAGGAATGGAGTAATGCTCACATTGAATAAATAAAGGAAATGTACTAAAATGAGTTAGATAACATAGATCGAACACTCAGAAAAAATTCCTTCGATCCGGTCGGTTTCGAACCGACGTCTTTTTGCATACAGTGAATAGCGACGTCTCTCGCCAGGACTAGTAGCTGTAAAGGTACTAACTGGGTGATAAATCTTTCATAGATTTCTCATAGATGGCGCTACGACTAGAAAGTCGTTGAAAAACCAAATACAAAGATACGACGCAAGCACATAGAAAAATTCGTTGGGTCCGTTGGTTCGTTCCGTGGCTTAGTTGGTTGGTGGCGTGTGGCACGGTATGCAAGAAGACGTTGGTTCGAATCCGACCGGATCGAAGGAATTTTTTCTGAGTGTTCGATCTTTGTATTAATGATTACAACAAACCAGTGGAGTAATTTTACAAAAAATAATTGAATATCAATTCAATAAAAATTTAGATAACATATTTCATTAAAAAAAATCACACACTTATTTCCGACCCCTAATAAATTCTTGTAAACTGATAAAATCCAGAATTTATTTAATTCTGGAAACTGAAATTGTAACAGGTTAATATTAAGTATTTATGGTTTAAATTTAATTAATATAAAATTAGTAAGCTCTTACCTGCTATGGCGACAAATAGGAGGGTCAGCCACTTCATGTTTTCCAGTTTACAGCACGACAACACAATATTATGATGATGAAAGGACTATTGTTTTTATAATCACTGTGGAATATTTTACAAGATATTATCAATGAATTACAAAGATAGTAATCAGTAGTACTTACAAGAATTACGTGCGTAAGTAAAACATTCGCTGCGTTTTGTTTATCTTCAACAATAACCAATACGCAGTTTAGATATTATCGATTGATCCACGATTGTATTTGGCATTGATTTATTCAATTGAGTAATGAATGGTTTTATTATCTTAATTGATACGATCTGCACTATCAGTCATCAATATTTAACCATGTAAGGGTAGGTCGAGAACGTTGCATTAGCAACAGAGCTCCTTGTGAAAGAGTCTATCCAGGGAATTACTGCCACCTTACTTATTTCTGCCGCAAAGCATTAATGTGAGCATTACTGCGCACCGGTTTTCAAGGGTGCTGGTGAAATTACATACACATGGGACTTGTCAACTTACGTCTCAGGATGACGAGCGCAGTGGCAGTGCCCCTCAGATCTTTGAGATTTCAAGCTCTGAGTGGCACTGCAACTTTGGACAGGTGTGTCGCTTAATAACAGGCGTACGACTTCTTCGTCCTGTCACTTGCATCATAATAGAAACGTTCAAAATGATTTTTTAAGCGTTATTATAATGTAATAAAATTATTTTTCACTTCTCATGCGCTAAAAGTACGTTTATATAGCCTTACGGAGCGGGAGTAAAATGCATCACTTAATCCCTAGGGAGCTTTAATTTACTTCAAGTGATCTAGACAAATTTAAACAGCCAGTAGTTGCTCTAGTATTTACTAAAAGGTAGTTTCAATAAGTGAAACATTATAATACAACTAAAACAACACTTAAAAATAATCATAAAAACAAAAAAAGATAATTATAATTTAACAATACAATAATTCATCAAAGTAAATTAATTAACCTACAGTTTCACAGAGATCGCTGCGCTGCGGAAATTCGATAAAATTGCATGTGTGTGTGGACCATTTTCATTACGATAATGTTACGTTGTAAGACTATATGCTCGGTTTTAGTTCCGTGTCTTTTCCGCATAGACGGTGGCGCCTTATTATTTTCCCGCGTTATTAGTGCGTTTGTGTATCGATCATTTTAGTGACGCGGCGTAGCACTTAAATCGTTCGAAAGCCGCTCATGATTGCCAAAGACCGTTAATCGTGGCGTTTTGTTACGTTTGTTGTATCTATGACAGGTTGGAAAAAACTCCAGAATTTTGGTTCGTGATTTTGTTCCGGAGAGTAAACGATTGAAAAATTTTTTTTTCTCGCAATCGAAGTAAAAAGTAAAGTTTTCACCTCAAGATTCAAAGCTAACATAGGCCCTCGGAGTAACAGACACCCTTGCCAAAAGCTCTGACACGTTCTAGTCCCTCGATAGGATATTAATTATCCTTATCATAATTATTATGATCGTCACTAATATAAACAATAATAATTAATACAGAACAAAATAGAATAACTCAATAATTATAATACTTTTTTTGTGAAATAAAACCGACTTCAACATTTTTTTGTGGTATTGCATCTATTTGCCGTTTTTTGATAGATTTTTGTTTACGAACTCGGTTAAAGGAAAGTGGGTGAAATCAAAACATCCGGATTAATTCCCTAATTTGCCGCCCTTCGAGGGATTATTGGTGGACAAAAAAATGATCATCGAAATAAGTTCACAAAGTAATGTCGGAGTCGAAGGAAAGTGTCACATACCCAAAAAAAAAAACAGTGAAATTGATAACTATTTTCTTTTTTGAAGTCGAAAATATAAATAAAGACAAAATATTCTCGAAATACAACGACCTTAAATGAAAAAAATACAAATTCTCCGAACGAAATATGTAAAATTATAAAACTGTAAAATTCACTATCCAATAAAATAAAATTTTGTCGGATATAAACAGTACAAAACATTTCATAGTGTTTACTCGATTGTTTCACACATTGGTTCGTTCTATTGTTTCAATGAAACATTTATATACTAATTTTGTGTGATAATCACTATCACTCACGAATGCTTAACTAACCACGGGTGAGGCCAAGAACATACAAATCCGTTAAAGTAGTTTCTGTATTATTGATTGAACCGGGCACGACTGATTCATTCCATTGTTTTTGTGTAACATTTTTGTTATCCTTAATTCGTATAATCGCTATCAGTCATGAATACTTTACCATGTAATGATGATTACCTCGCGTCCCATTACTTACCATTGGAGAGTTATGCTTTATTAAGGTGGTAAAGTATAAGTTTTATTTTATATAACTTAACCTGTTCATGGACAGTAACGGCGTTCACGTAAAATTAAATATCGGAATATGATGAAATGAGGGTGTGGTGATCTGAAAACATGGTGAGATGAGAATGTGGCGAGCTTTAACGTGGTAAGATGTGAATGTGGTCAGTTGAGAACGTGGTAAGATGAGATTGTGGTGAGTTGAGAATATGGTGAGTTGGGAGTTTGGTAAGGTCCTCACAAAGGGATAGTACGGGGTTCCTCGTTTCTTTATTTTCAAATACTAGACAACATCACTTACGTTGTTCTGATCCCAAAGTACGCAACCGGGGATCAACTAATATAGCCATTCTTTTATAAAAAAATGTTGACGGGATCAGCCATCAGTGGCAAAGCGTAATTATTATTATATTGAGTCAATATAAGCACTGTGCCGTAGCAAAATGAAAAGTGGTGACATTTTGGGGTGAGGTATTATTTAAGTACCTGCCTGTACTGTCCATGAAAGGATTAATGGCAGGGCTCCGTCAAGCGCTCGAGATTACGCGACTGTATCGCCGTCAGTGCAAGCGCCGAGACAAGTCTTTCATTTACATTACAATCCCTGTACAACCCCAGCATTCGGTTCCGCACGACTGCACACGGCGAGCAACGTTACTTTCACATCTACGAGTGAGTATTTTGGTTCCTTTCTTCTGGTAGTGAACGCCTAGTGTCATTAGTTAGATTTAGTAGGCTATTATAGCGTAGGTATTTTCGGTTTTGTATGAGAGTGATGTATCTGTTACATGGTAACTATTAAATAGTCTGTGCTAATGGCGTATCTATCACGGTTTTGTGTATTTTTAAGCAATCCCCTCGCCTCGATGTGTAGGCACATTACGGGATTTCCCATTTATTGAATTAAAGATCTATATCTTAATATCCGCTGGATGTTTACTTGTGTATTTCAATCTTTTTCTGAAAATCGCTTAATTAACACGCAATTAGTTTCCATGAATTCGTTTACTTATCACGATAATATTAACTCGAAATTTCCGTGTGTGTAATAATCAATCATCGAGGAATAATGACATATGAGTTGCAATTTTAGATAAAGCCGTCGAAACGCTTCTACTATTGTTCTGCCACCCTATAGTTACCCTATCATTAGGTACTCCTCTGTTTAGAAATAATCGGGATGCCCTTTGCGATTCAACAATCTGCGTTTTAAACACATTATTATATGTTTCAGTAATTATAGTAGTCAACACCCTAAGCTTTATCTTGTCACTGTAATAATTTTGTAATATAGAAAATGTAAACCTGCGTCAGAGGGTAAACAATTCGACATTTGCTTGACTTCAAAGTTAATCAAAGTGGTTGTTCTCTAAGTTGCAAACGTTGCAAAATACAAATATTTGTTGAGAAATAAGTAATTAAAATTGTTTGTCATTGGGTAAGTAAAATAAACCTTTAGAAGGTTTATTCAAATCGTAGAGGGAGCGTCTAAAATAAGAAATAAAATTACACTGCTATTGTACAATAATTTTTAAATACGTTTTTTAACTTCTACTCATAGCTTTATTGTATTTATACAATAATAATAATAACAATATATACATAATGTAAAAATAATAATGTACCAGACGGACCTGGAGCTAAAGTAGGAAATTCCCAGTAATATAAGTCCTATAGTAACGGAATTCACTCCGGGACACAACCCATAACACCCACACCAGAACCAATATAGAAAATTTTTTCCCAAATTGATTCTGCCGGGAATCGAACCCGGGACCTCCACGTCCACCGCTCACAGTGCAAATGTCCTTTGATATAGTTAGATGGAGATCAAATGCCCTTTTATTTTCAATAAAAAAAAAAGAAAAATCTCCACAATTTGATGTTTTTAATACGTTTGTGCATGCCGTAAAGTGGAATGCTCTTATTTTATTTATCAAACACCTCCATTTTCTAGACTATGTTTTCTTTAGCGCGATAATTGATAGAAGGTACGTGGATCTTGTAAAATGAAATAAGTTGCTAGTTATTTTTAAGGAATAACTTTATTCAAAAATTGTGCCGTAAATTCGTTTCTCGTAGTTATTGAAGTTTCCTTTAGAAGGGCCAGCTGGCCCCAGTTGTCAAACCGAAGATACCCTCACTATAAAAATAATTAACCATTGATAATCACACGCTTAAATGTAAATAGAAAAAACCATACCTCTACTACCACTACCACTTACCCACGTTTTGATAAAATGACATTTCCCATGTCCATTGTGGCCCCAGTGCATTGTTGGTTTTCAGCTTGCTGAATATTGGTGCATCGACGCCCAACTAAATGGTTATATCTGACAGTTGCTGCAAATAACTCATGAGCTCTACTGTGATTACAGGCGCTAGAAGTGCAACCAGGTTGATTCCTACCACCGTTCGGGTAAAAGTTACTGCGACCAATAGCATTCATAATACCCTGAAGTCCACCATCAGTATGGATGGCTTCCACATATTGACCGTCATTGTCTCGCAAGGCATTCCTGTTTCCTACCCACAAGGGACCAGCTGGATCCAAACCTTTGAACAGAATTTTTTTTTATTAATAATAACAAATAAATAACAGTATAATCATTGACTTACAAATAAATGGACGACGGGTCTAATACAAAAACCACGAAAAAAATGTCCCAAGTCAACCTATTTAAACGTAGTGACATGTAAAGGAATATGAAAAAGCTAAAACGTTGAATTTAAATTGTAATGTCATCGCATTACTGTCTAATTTTGCTTGCTTCGCTGTCAGTCGAACAAACGAAGACTAAAGCGTGAATGACGCTCTGTATACGATTTTAACGCCCTATAAGTTCGGACACTTTTTAGCGCGGACCCGACGTCCATATAATTGTAAGTCAATGAGTATAATGAAACGTTTTCCAATATTCACCTGTAATTCTAGAAACACGACTTCCACTCTGTCTTCCAGCATTGCCAACTACATGAGCTCCTAAACTGTAGCCAACAAGATGTATAATGTTCCAGTTGCCTCCACCATTGGTGATAAGCCATTGGAGAAAATCGCCGATATGCTGTCCTACGCTGGGTACGCCGTTGATAGCAGTTAGGTAACCTTGGTTGGCGAGATCGCGCCAGTCGACGACGATGACATTACAGTCAGATACGGTAAGAAAAGCATCTCGAACGTTGCTATTAAAAGCAATATTTCCGTTGCCATTCCAACCGTGCACGATTACATTTAAAGGTGTGTTAGGGTTGTAATTAGAGTTTTTTATAGAATTAACATCGCCATTTCGGATAATTTGTGCGTTGGTAGGATTACGTCTAGAAAATATCAAAACACCCTTGTTTATGCAAATAAATATTGCCGGCAGATGCTGTACTTATATACATTTATGTGAATACAAAGAGAATATAAAGAAAGCATAACTTCTAAGAGCCACACCTGGTAAAGAGCCAATATTCATTGTCGGCACCATTTCTGGTGCTTAGAATTTGCTCATCAACAGGCTCCTTTAAGTCCACAAGACGCGGTTCGTCATCACCGTTGAGTATCCATATGTAGCGGCTGTCGCCCTCTTTATAATGACTGTTGTCACCAGGCACAGTGGGAACTGGGAATATAGGGGTGGCAGCATAAACTGAAAGAGTATCAGTTTGACATCAGGACAGCACTATAGATTTTATGAATGATTCAAGAAAAATACACTAAGCAGCCAAAGTGCCCTTTCTTGTGATAATAATAGCGTTTGGCAAACTCTAACTTACCCGCTAATAGTCCAGTAAACACTACAAGTAGCTTCATGGTCAACTGATTTTCGTCGCAATTGGTTGATTAGTTTTGTACTATTTATATGAAAGTTCAAGCGTTGCTATCTCATCTACGTGGACGACAGTGCGTACGCCAAGTTTCGAAAGTCCGTCTTTAACTTTTCAAGCGCAAGATAGGGCAACTACAATTTAAAATATAATTTGAAGACCCTTTTTTAGTTATAAATTATACCTTTAGGTATAATCATACATTGTCATATATTATTATTTCTAGTAATTCTGTTTTTTGCGCCTATTAAACGATACCCATCAATGGCGGTAACGAGGTTTACGAATTAAGTCGACTCACTCGCTTTTAATTGCCATTTTAAAATTATATCACGGTCAGTGTGCGAGGGAGTTGCACGATTTAAATCCACCTTCCACTTTCCATCATCGGGGGACTAGACGTAGGCTGGGGTTCCACCCCTATGATGTAGGTATTCTAAGAATTCACACACACAATTTCGTTTCCACATTTATATAGCGAATGGCTATGGAGTGGAATTCCCTACATGCAGACTTGTTCCCTGAACGGTATAACTTGAGCCTTTTCAAAGCGACAGTGAATAGACATTATTTAGGTGTTTATGCTCCATCGTCGACCTCATGGTCACTTTCCATCAGGTGAGATGGAGGTTAAATGCGAACTTATTTTTTTTTAAATAAAAAAAGCCTTAGGAAACTTTTAGATGCAACGTTTGTTTGTAATTTTAAAACTCAAATTAAAGTTGTCACTACAAAACTTACTAAGATCTTTTATCGATTACAAAATTTGCTTAAATACAGACTCTACCTTCATACATTTTGAGTTTGGAACAACTGTTACCAAATTACATAATCTGGGCATTGGTTTAAATTTTTAGAAGGGGAACTTGGTCTAGGTTTTTGCGTTTCGTAATGTTGTCGAGGTATTAATGAGTTATTATAAGTATCATAATGTTTTATCTTATCGGTAAACGTGACATGTCAGGTAGACAATGGGCATTGTTAATTGTTTTTCAAACTCTTTTTTTCAAAATCCATTTCAAGGAATAAGGTTGCTGATTAACATTTTTTATGTATTTGTCAATATTACGTTGGCATTATTTATATTTTTCAAAAAATAGTATTGACCTTTATTTGACATTCAATGCCGTCATCAGTGGCTATATAATGTTTTGTCCCGTAATGCAAATGAAAAATGCAAAAAAGTCACTTCATCAACGTTTGTAAACATAACCTTACAACCTTTGCAACTTCTAATTTCGCTGCCGGGAGACAAAATATCAAATATAACACAGCTATGGAATACAAAAAGTGCTTTGTTCATACCTACGGGAATGGTTCAATAGATAACTCAACAGATCTTTGTTCATATTCGAGAAAATTGCGAAAAAAGTAGTATCGTCAAGTAAACGTGAGGTACTTCAAAGTTTACACTATTTATTGTTGTGAAGATCACTTTGAAGTAAGTCGATAAGTCTGTATAAAACAACACTTTGTCTTTCTTTTCACTGTAAGTAGTATTGTGAGATTTCCGAGGTAATAATACTTTATTAGTTTTGTAGCCGTCCGAAGATTTGGTGAACTGTTTCGAAGTGAAAATTATGAAATATGAGCAAAAACTCAAACGTACAGTCAAGCTGCGCAATATCAGTATATTAAATGAGGTATAATTCAATAATAATAATAAATTCAATAGTTTGATTTGTATGATTGTAATTTTTTTCTATTGTATACTATATAAAGCTAATAATAGTGAAATGCTGCATAAAGTAGGTATGTAATGTACAAAATTCTTTCCAGTTTTGTAACCAGAATAAAAAATTGACTGTTGGTTTAGTAGACTTTTAAATACTGTTTAAATGAATGATTTAAGTCTCAAAAGTTAAATTTGTAAATTCCTGAGAATAAAAACAATCTCGAGTCTCGAAAATCCTAAAAAACAGAGACTCGAAATTTTCGAGATCTTCATTAATTAATTCATTCTCATTTTAATCGAATCGATTTCTCAACGGTCATTCATTTAAGTTCAATTCTTATTAGTCTTTTTGTACCAGGGTTCCACTTTCCACGCCACGAAATTCGCGCACCTGGTGCTACAACCCTTCGTGTTATACGCTTCACACGCATTTGCTCGCCCGACTCTGGGGGAGTGCCTATCCATGCCAAATTGGAAGTATTTGAATGTTTGTGTAGGGCATCGTAAATAAATGTGTGTCGAGCATAATTTTTTTACATTTTATTTATTTAACCGCCTACTGTAGCTAGTACTTCTTACCCACTCGTAGTTTGAAAGCAGCAGTCAGTTATTTCATGTTTGTGTGCATGTGCATATTGTACACTTTTTAATTTTTTGCACTTGGTAAGTCGAGTTTATTGTGAGTTTTTAGTGTTGTATAATATATTTTGTTTGTTTGAATTATTTTTGTCAGATTCTCATTAAACATTAGTTGCAATTTTTGCCATTTAGTTCTTTTTATTTTTAATGCTTCTTTTATTTTTTTAAGTGCAACAACGCTTTTTGAGATAATGATGGTTAATAATGGAAGGATATCAGGGCATTATGAATGCCATTGACTATTGTCCCCAGTAACTTCTATCCTAACCGGTGGTAGGAATCAACCGGGTTGCACCTGTAGAACCTGTAATCACAATAGAGCTTACTATTTCATTGCAGCAACTGTCAGATATAACCGTTTAGATGGCCGTCGAAAAACCAATATCTAATAAGCTGAAACCCAACAATCATTAGGTCCAAATTAGACACGGCTATGCCATTTTATCAAAACGAGGATAAGTAATATCAAAGGTAAAAGTAATGACACTAAAATTATTTAGTACATATACAACATTTTATCTTGTCTTTATTTACATTTCATTATTTTTATAGAGGGTTTGGTTCGAAGTCTTCCAAACAGACCTTTTAACGATAAATTCAATGATTATAAGAAGTGAACTTAGGGTACAATATTTAAATAATGTTGTTCCTAAAAAATAACCAGTAACATAGTCTAAACAGTGCACTTACCATCAGGCGTACGATTTGCTCGTTCCGTCACTTGATATTATTAAAAAAAAACATAAAACCCTGGCTTCAAATTTGACAAAGGGTAATGCTACTTTGGCGACATTATACTCATTACGTTACGATACAATGAAGCGAGAATTAATAAGATTAAATAATTATATATAAATATTATTTAATAAAAAACAAAGATCAATGCTTTGCTTATCCACTTTTGCTGTGCTCGTTGTCGTGGCGCAACGACAATTGAAATTTGAAACGCATAATATTTTTTTTTATAATACCAAGTGACAAGTCGAAACAAGTCGTGCGCTGGTGGTAAGCGACACACCTATCCATAACAATTGCAGTGTCACTCAGAGCTTTAAATCGCAAAGACCTTATGGACACTGCCACTGCGCCCGTCACCGTGAAGACGTCGGTGAAAAAATAGAGTATATAACAAATAAATATATTTTGCAATTCTAATTATTATATAAATATTTATATTATTGTATTTATTCTTTTCAGAAGCTCTGTCTACGATATGTCTAGAGTCTAGAGCATTGGATCTCAAACTATTTGACTCACCGCCACTTAAGCAAAATAAAAAAATTTCAACGCCCACTACTATAACAAATAATTGAAAACATGTATTAAAAATCACATGATTATATATATATTCATGTAGTGTAGTTTATATAGATAATTCAGATGTTTATTTTTTTCAAATGTCCCCTGGACAGCCTCAACGATGTTGCTTCCGAAGGCCCTACCGCCCCAGTAGGACGATTCAGCACCCACTACAGTAGGGACCACTTTGCGAAACTATGTTCTAGAGGGTTCCAGCAACTCATCCAACGGTAAATATTTTTATTGTTTTCTTTTTCACAACAAATAAGTTTTGCTACGTGTCCATGTAGACACTGTGACGTCACGCAAAAATTGAATTGTTTAGACTCTTCAGAATGTTTTTTTTTCCAGAATCACAGTGACAAAGTTTGTTTTATGATACCAAGTGACAGGACAAACAAGTGGTGCGCCTCGTAGAGTAAGCGACACGCCTGTCCATAATTTTGTTGCAGTGCCGCTCATGACTTTAAATCGCAAAGATTTGAGGGACACTACCACTGCACCCGGCACCCTGAGACAAAAGTTGACCAGTCCCATGTGTCTGTAATTTCACCAGTACCCTTACTCTTCAAAACCGAAACATAACAATGATCACATTACTGCTTGGCTGCAGAAATAGGTAAGGTGGCAGTACTTTCCTGGCGAATTTTTTCACAACGAGCTCTACTCCTACTAAAAATTAAGGTAGGGAAGGTAATGAAAATAATATTTTATATGTTTAGGTTTTTCCATTTTTTATTTTTTATAAAGCAAAACAAAACCTTATAACTATTTACAATCTGACCTTTTTACAAGACTAATGAGTAATTTAATATATTTTTCTAAAATAAATGTAACTTATATGTAGAAGTTGTCCATCGACAAAATATGTTTTAACATTAGTTAACGGGAAGACACTTCGTTCATAATCTTATTAACACTGGCACTAATATATATTTTTATTCACTATAATTTAACAACACTAACTCAAAAGGTAGTTCTTTGTAGTCTACGTTCTATATTTGTGATGTCGAGTAGCTGTATAGCCTCTATGTTCACGTGATGATGAAGTCTATGTTCGTGAGCTTCGGTGTACTTTTTTATCATTTTATCTACGGGCTCTATATCTAAATCGTGGTGCAGATCCTCATTCTAAAGAAATTTGCTTAAATTTCTTTCACCTGAATATATAATATCATGATTATGTCTCGACGTGGGCATAACTATAGGGTCACACGATTGTTAAAATACCAAGGCCTGCAACACTTTCGACCGTTTATTCTAAAATTTCCTCAGATGAATTACCATGCTCTATTGTAACGCACAGGGAATTCTCATATTTAAATTACCAAAATGAATACAAAGGTTCATCATTCAATTCATTGGTTTATTCT